GAACAAGAGCTGAAGAAGATCTTCCGATCAAGAGCACGCGTTGCACTCTTTTTTCCTTATACCGGTTTTTTCCCAAATGGGTTTTTCGGCAAGGTTTTTAATGAGGCAACCATCGATCGTGCTGCACTTTTAACAATATCCGAGGCCTCTTTTCGATAGACCTCGAATACCGGGGGAGCATCAGGGCCCTCAAATACATCGAGTTCAGATGCAAGATAGNTCCATGGCCATTCATGAAATGGGGGATGGACATCGTCGGCCCTCTGCCGTCGACCCCAGGTAAAGCCAAATTTATTTTATTTATGACTGACTATTTTTCTAAGTGGGTTGAAGCGCAGGCGTTCGAGAAAATAAGAGAAAAAGAAGTCATAGACTTTATTTGGGATCATATCATATGCCGATTCGAGATACCCGCCGAAATAGTATGCGACAATGGGAAGCAATTCATTGGCAGCAAAATCACATAATTCCTCGAAGATCACAAAATAAGAAGGATATTATCAACACCATACGGACAAGCCGAATCAACGAACAAGACTATTCTTCAAAACCTGAAGAAGAGATTGAATGGCGCGAAAGGAAAATGGAGAGAAATCCTACCCGAAGTCCTTTGGGCATACCGAACAACGTCAAAATCCAGTACGGGGGCGACCCCGTTCTCCTTAGTATATGGTTTCGAAGTATTGATACCAGTCGAAGTCGGTGAACCTAGTCCCAGATTTCGATTCATGACAGAAGAATCAAATAAGGAGGCTATGAACACCAGCCTTGAATTATCGGACGAAGGACGAGAAGCTGCCCTCATCCGACTGGCCGCCCAAAAGTAACAAATCAAAAGGTACTATAATCGAAGAATTAAACTCTGCCATTTCAAGCCCGGGGACTTAGTGTTAAGAAAGGTCACCATCAATGCTCGGAATCCAAACAAAGGAAAATTAGGACCAAACTGGGAAGGACCATACCAGGTGCTCGAGAACGTTGGAAAAGGATCATACAGGCTCGGCATCATAAACGGCAAACAGCTATCAAGCAGTTGGAATGTATCACATCTAAAATGGTACTACTACTAAGGCACGACCTTTCTATATTCATCTAACTAACCCATGCAGAAGTTCGAACAAGAGCTGAAGAAGATCTTCTGATCAAGAGCATGCGTTGCACTCTTTTTCCCTTAGACCGGTTTTCTCCCAAATGGGTTTTCCGGCAAGGTTTTTAATGAGGCAACCATCGATCGTGCTGCACTTTCAACAATATCCGAGGCCTCTTTCGGACAGACCTCGAGTACCGAGGAGCATCAGGGCCCTCAAATACATCGAGTTTAGATGCAAGATAGTCATCTCACAACAAGGTTCCAACGGGAAAAATTGTAAGAGCCAAATGGTCAAAATGAACCATGCTCATATAGATCGGCCCAAACATAAACACATGTGCAATGACTTGAGATTTATTGTGGAACTAGAATTAAGATTCACTCGACTATTAAGCCTACGGGCTACTATTATTCTGAGCTCGAGCAAAGCACTCACTCTACCATTTAAGCCTACGGGCTACTTACATTTCGAGTTCGAAACATTCACTCGACTATTAAGCCTATGGGCTACTATTATTCTGAGTTCGAGCAAAGCACTCACTCTACCATTTAAGCCTATGGGCTACTTACATTTCGAGTTCGAAACATTCACTCGACTAGTAAGCCTACGGGCTACTGTTATTCTGAGTTTGAGCGAAGCACTCACTCTACCATTTAAGCCTACGGGCCACTTAAATTTCGAGTTCGAAACATTCACTCGATTGTTAAGCCTACGGGCTACTGTTATTCTGAGTTCGAGCAAAGCACTCACTCTACCATTTAAGCCTACGGGCCACTTAAATTTCGAGTTCGAAACATTCACTCGACTATTAAGCCTACGGGCTACTATTATTCTAAGTTCGAGCAAGCACGTACTCGACCATTACGCCTACGGGCTACAATATTTCAAGTTCCAAACATTCACTCGACGGCTAATAAGCTACTTTTTACATCTACGGATTATGTTCCTTCAAAGTGTGAATCATCGACTCAACAAGCGAACTCAGGGGCTACAAACCTGATCGATCAGAGAGACTACAAGGTCAACATTCAATTAAAAGTCTTCACAGAACAAAAACAAGTCGACCTGATTATACATATATATAAGAAAATTGCCTACAAGATTAATGTACAAACATGAAGAATTCGAAACTAAGCTTCCTGGTCGAGCTCTTCCGCATCCTCGGATCCGCTTTCGCTACCATCATCATCATCGTCATCATAAGCCAAGGCTTCAGCTTCCACTTCGAGCTTTTTTGCCTTTTTCACCTCTTCGGTAAGGTTAAAACCTCGAGCGTGTATCTCCTCGAGGGTCTCCCTCCGAGACATACACTTAGAAAGTTCGGCAACCCAATGAGCTCGAGTATCGGCGACCTTCGACGCTACACATGCCTCTATCTGAGCAGCCTCTGCATCAGCCTAATATCCAACAATGGACTTATCCGCCAAGACTTTCGATGACTCGACCTCCGCCTTAGCCTCAGCAAGTCGTATTTCAAGCTCCTCAATCTTCTTAGTTTGAACCGACCCCTTTTGCTTGACACTTTGAAGTTGAACGTCGGCCGATAATAATTTTGTCAAAATGGTCTCTTTTTCCGCTGCCAGGCGGTCGAGGGTCTCCTTCCACCGATTGCATTCAACTCGGATTTGATCGACTTCTTCTCGAAGTAACCCGATCTTTTCTATCTTCTGCTGCAACTGAGACAACGAAGGGTTAACTTCCACGGGTTAATCAGACCCATACTTTAACAGAACGAGGCTCACCTGCTTATCGACCTCGACCCCTTCTTCACAGACCTTAGCCAAATCCGCTTGGAGGTCCTTTATAGCCTCGTTCTTTTGGCTGCAAAGAAGCCGTAGGGCATCTCTCTCACCTGAGACCTTCCGGAGCTCGGCCTCACACTGGCTAAGATCGACTCGAAACCTACTAATGGCATGCATAGTAAGAAATACGAGTCAAGTATGGAAAAAAACAAATAAACGAAGTATGGAAGAATCATTACCCGAGTAATGAAACGCTGAGCCTCCTCTAATAAAAGAGAAGCATCACCGATATCGGAACCATCGTCGACTCCAGTAAAACAATCCCTGAAAGGATCCCCTACACCAGAGCCTGCGCTGATATCGGGAGTCTTCAATTCTCGAGCTTCCTTCAGCGCCTCCTAAAAAAAGATGGAAGAGAAGGTGAATCACCCATTGTCATAGCCCCGAGCAAATCGCTCGGAGTACTCCGGTCTAGATTCTGGTCTTCGGGAACAACCCCGACATGTACAACCGCCATCGGCTCGGGAGCTCTGGCAACCTCGATGGCCTTTATAGACCGAACTACCAAAGCCGAGGAGCTATTTTCTTCTTCTTCTTCTTCTCTCAGTCGTTGGACCGAGTCAATCGAAAGGGCAATTATTTTTCTCTTCACCGTGCGAGTTTTGGGCTTTGGGTCCTCTAACCGAGAGGAAGCTTTTCGCTTCTTATCTTCCCCCTGTTTAGGGACCAGGGACTTGTTTCTTTCCTCGCCGCTCGAAGGCCTAAAAGCGGCATCCCTGGTTACACCTGCACTGTAGTGGAATCGAAGAAGGGAGATGGACAGTTATCTGCATGCGAGGTCACGCTTACTCACTATGAAGATATGGGCATCCCTAAATTGGGAGTTCGACATGGAATGTGGGGAACTGTCAAGAAATTGCACAACGGCTTCAGAGCATACCAGAATGCAAGAAAATCAGAAGCAGCAGTTTCTAGGTGTGCAATGATGGCACGAATCACTACAAAAATCTCTCTTGATGAAGGCGTTGATGCGTTGGAGCGAGTTTCTGCTGAAGAAGGTAGAGTTGTGGAAATCCAAGGCCAGAGAGGAGATGGTGGGATAGATTGGAAATGGGTAGCTATTGGAGCAACAGTTGCTGTAGTCTACGGCCTTCGTAACGGAATGCTAGGAAAAGCGGTGTTATTTGGAGCAGGGAAAGGATTGCTCGGAGAGGCAGAAATGCATGGTGAGGAGTGGTAGCTAGTAGGGGTGTCAATAGTTCGGTTCGGCCGGTTATTTTATAAAATTTGTACCATATCAATTTTTTGATTATTTTATTATATATAACTAAAATTAGACTTTTCGAAACCGTCTCAATTATGTCAGTTTTTCTTCGGATCGGTACAGTTTGGTTAATTTTCGGTAATTTTTTTAAATGTCATGCAAAAGTCACTAAGTAGAAGTAGAATGCAATAACATACATACTTTTATAAGACTTAGCAAAACTCTTTAGTGTACTTTTACAGTTTAAAAGGTGAATTAAGAAAATATGAAAGATGGCTAGAGTATAGATCCATCAACTATACTACACCAGCGTAAAATAAACTAAGCAAATACAAAAAATATATAAATCACACGAGTGAAAAGATATTAACCAAGTTGGATTTCAAGAATAAAGTCTATAAAAGATAAAACATTCAAAAAGATAAATCAAATCATACGAAAGAAAAATATATTCAATACATTGTAGTTGGTGTTGCTCCCAAACGCACACGCAAGTATACGCAGTCGACAAGTAATATAGTATTGTAAATTCAGATATCGTACCCACAAGGACTTGTGATAAACTATCAACTAAATCAAACTAAGACAATTAATCTATTCAAGCGATTTTCTAAAGTGTGATTATTTAACTACAACTAATCTAGAGTAACAAACTAAGAGATTAAAGGAAACAATCTGGCGAATATTAGAGACGATATTCTAGAGCTATGGGTTGACTAACAATCTCGTTGAGTTTTTTACTTAAATTGTCTAATTAATTTATCTAGTTTATTGATTGGCAGGGTTAATATTACTCGTAGCCTTCTCCCGAAGTACTACTCGTCTATTCAAGCTAACCTAACGCCTATATTCCTATGGAATTAGAATTAACAAGAACGAGTTTATAATTCCTGTATAGTAACCAAGCAGCGATTAGGTATATTCCTATCCTAACTGCGAATTTGTTCCCGATGCTCGAGTTCAAGATCTCGCTCTATTCAATCTTATATGCAATCTAGAATTCCCTCTCTCGAGTTCAATCCTAGATTCATAGATAGTATTCAATTGGTGATCAAGCAATCAAATAATTAAGGTAGGATGCAACCGCAGCATCCAAAGCCCGCGTTGGCCCTGGCGCTGAATCCAGTGGGTCTGCCGCCTCCTCTTCTAAGAAATTAACTTGTTCTTTTATACTAAGTACATAATGCTTGGGACAAAACAATTAAGTTAGGAGTCAAAGTTGCCTTGTCAGATGCTTGTTTCTTCCTTAACGCCATATGCATCAACTTCAACATCAAAGTTGCTTACGTCTCGCCCAACAACACCTAGAATTTTCAACTTTCCTTTTGTCTCGAATTTTGACATTCTTTATTCCTAAAAATATTACATCAACACTCAATTAGTGTATAATTAAATTCTTAACTTAGTTGGGCATATATAGTATAAAATACAATCAAAAAAGGGTAAAAATATAGAGTAAATATTATCAAAACATATGAAAATATACCCAATATCAGTTTGCTACTCATAATCGTTACAATACCTTGTGTCTTGCTAGTGAATATTGTTTACCCGAAAAATCGGATAACGTTAGATTTAGATATGGTTCTAAGGGTATGCAAATTTCTTTGATACAAAATGACGATACAGGTATTTTTTGCTTTGAAATGGAAAAATGATGGACGGGAAGACTGAAAAATATTAGAAGAACAAGTACAATGAAATCTTCCTCCCCCTATTGCAGTCTATCTCTCTTTTTATAGTAGAGGATCACTACTTTATTTGTAACAACATAAAATAATACATATAGTAGAGAACCCATGATGGTTTGTCTCTCCCTTGATTCTCGCCAAGATTCTCTCCCTTGGTGCGGTTGTAACGGCTCTTGTCTGCGAGCTTGGCACTGACTCGAGCTTGGTGCTAGATCGAATCCCCAGTCTTAGTTCGAGCTCGGTTTTGCCTTGGAGCATTGATATTCGGGGCCTGTGTCGGTCGTCGTTACCCCGTAGTCCGATTCGGACGCGGGCTCGATGATGATATCGAGTTTTGCGATTGATTGGTCTTATAGCTCGAAGCTCGACTTCTCTACTTCGGAATTCATCCGAGCTCGCCATGCGGATACCCTTCGATTGAAACGTCATTGTCTCGACCGATCTTTATGACTGAGAATCGGTTTTGACCGTACACAGATAGTCCCCTCATTTCTCGAAGAGGATGTGGCGAGGAATGATATGATTTCCCTGCGGCTCGATCAAATTTATGCCGACGTTTCTATCGAACCCGATCTCGACGTATGTGATGGTTGTCCCATCGACTCGGTTTTACCGAGGCATTTAATGTATGTCAGACGGTGGTCGGCCACCGCTGATACCGAATCATCAGGCCTTAGTCTATAAATAATCTTTTCACACAACTTTTACCATTTTTACGCCTTCTCTTCTTCCAGACTTTCCTATTTATCCTCTCTACTTTGCTGCTACGGGGCTGTTCATACCAGAATCTTGGTGCTGTCTATTTCTTCCTTTGCACTCTTTCCTTTCATATCAATGGCGAAAACTTCCAAAACTGTACATCAGAAGGAAAAAACCTCTTCCTCACGGCCATCTGATGATAAGGCGCCGGTGGAGCCGTTAGTTCATGACTACGTTCTTGGCCCGTGCATTTTGAAAACCGATTTTACGGTGGAGAACCCTTCCTCTGTTTCGGGTCGATGTGAACATGTATCGATGTATACATGCTCTATAACGGAGGATCACCTCGAGGCCATCCGAAAAGACTGCAACTGGGGTTCCAAGGTCGTGCTGCAAATTCCGTCTTCCGATGAGGATGTTACCACTTACATGGAGGGGTTTTTAAGTGTTTACACTTATCCCTTCACACTGGGACCCGTCGACCCGGTGATTATTGATTTCTGCAAAAGGTATCAAGTCACCCTTGGCCAAATCCATCCCTCTTTATAGCGTATAGTGATCTTATTGCGCTTCTTCTCTATCAAAGCCGGAGGGTTGGATTTTTCTCTGAACCACTTCATTCGACTGTATCGGCCTCAGATCTTTCGAGGACTAATCAGACTTCATCGTCGGGCATCGAAGGCATTGATGTCGAGCATCGATGAAGACAAGAATCGAGGTTGGATGGGTCGTTATATCCGAGTGAGGACCCGTGATCTCATTGCGGAAGAGAAGATGTCGTTCCCTGAAGAATGGAATTTTGACCGTAAGTGATTTTTGTTCACTTTTCAGGTGCTTTTCCGATTTTTTCTTATGTCCTTCCCTGATGTTCAGCTGCCCCTTGGATGCCACAAGCGGTGCCCGACCTCGAGGACTGGGTTTGGAAGTTAGCCTCGACCTCCTCTTACGTCGAGCGCGCTTGGCGTGATTTGGCAAAAGGCAGATGGGAGGCCAAGAACCATGGTGAGGTTTACTTCTTGTTTCCTACGAAGTATTCTTTGCATTCTATTCGTTATTGATTTCCTCTTCCATTTTAGCAGTGTAAACTTGAGTAAAAATCAACTTAAGTAACAGGCAATTGGAAATTTTGCAAAGTTAATCCTTGTTGAACACCCAGACCCAGTGTTAATGGCGTTACTTACCTACTCGGCTTAACAATCCAACTTGAGAAGTACAGGTCCACACGCCTTGGCTTGTCACGTCTTTGCAGAGCTGGGTATGGTACACTCTGTGGAAGATCATGTTAAAAATATGAGCATAATGTGTAATTACATGGTTTCTGAAAAATAGAGTTGTTAACAAACCAACTAAACAAGCCACCATGAGAAAGTGTAATATTGGAGAACTTTGTCCAAGTGCAGATAAATAAATATATGAACTTCATGGAAACTATTAAAGGGTTTTAGACACGGAAGCCTCGCAACTCCAAGAAGGCCTGAAATATGCTAGGTGGAAGCAGTAATAAAAAGAATCACTGTATGCACAGATCAATCACTTAAAACTTGTATTTGAAGCATCCAGAACAACCAAATTTACACGTGGTGCTGTAGCGCTTACCTTTGTCACACAGTAGTATTTTTTGCCAGATTCCCATATTCTTCTACCGATGATATATTCACGATCACTGCAGAAGAACGGGAACTGTAGCAGCAAAAACAATTTTTGTGAGTGCAGAAGCGATGGAAGAAATGAACCATAAGGAGTTCTCATAGCAATACTAACACACTTTGATGATTAACAAACCTTTTTTTTTTTGGTAACAACTGTGAATATTACCATGAATAACAACAATTGAACAATACACCTACAAAGCACCTACAAACCTTTTTAATCCAGTGGATAATCATAGATCCTGTATGTGGGGATTCCTGCAATATCTTGAAATAAGCAAGCGTAGGATCCCATTTTGGCTTGAACTCATCATCCCAGAAGAAATCTCTGACTAACTCCGGAGTTGCATCCTCGAAAACAGTTTTGGTTCGGTAGATTGTTGGTCCCATCTGACAAATAGACTGGTTCTGTTAGAATCACTAAGAGAGAACAGAGAAGCTTAAAAGAAAATCCAAATTAACTGTACGGATAGAAAAATACATGGTCATAGACAAAGCCACCAAGCAAATCATGCAGCAAAACAAGCAATTATGGCTTGGGAAATACAGATCAAAATTTTAAAAAAGAATAGTTTATACTTACTCCAGCGACACAATATTGGATATTAGTATTTAGATGAAGAGCATAGAAACAGTCTTGGTTAATGGAGGATTAAAAGAGCTAAAAAAACATTTTTTGTACTTTTCATAATTTCCCAGTAACATAACTGTAATATCTCAAATTAATATGATGATTTGAAAGTAGCAAAAGGAATTAATCTATCATAAAAGCCATAAAGATCATGCAGTGATACACCTACAAAAACATAAATAGAAAAAGGAGCAAAAAGCAGGCACGTATCCTCAAGCTAGGCCCCTGATGTTATTTTCCCATATCAAAATAATAATATGGATAGAGTAGAAATAGAACACAAACAGGTGCTCCCCATTTCCAAGGAGGAAGAAAGAACATATTATAAATCAAAGATGAAAGAAGTTAACCTAAAAGATCTTCCCCCTGTTTTTATTTAGGAAACAGTACCTAAGATGTATCCAAATGAAAGCAAAGATGATAATATATTCCGAGGTTGCTAAAATGAGCATCTAAACTGCGTCAGCAAGAAGACTCATTGCTTAAGAGCAGCGACTCTATTACAAGAGACCGTCCAATTATATGAAATACGGGAAATTATGTTACTAATTCATGCATCTAAAAGTTGCAGGAAGAAGGAAAACTGATATAAAGTCATTTATCAGACGACATCTTCAGTTTGCCCCAGAAACAAGAACCCCTACCTATGTAACCTGACCCTTAATAGAAAAAATAACCTGATCCTTGAATTGGAAAAAGTTTAGGATAATTTGAAACATCAACACATCAAATGAAAATTGAGCTGACAAAAGAACATAGCTTAGACATGAGTCATACTAAAGTACTAAACATATAAATAGCTCAAGGAAGATTATGTTGTGCTCACTGACGTCAAAGGCGCGCTAAAGCCCTGAAGCGAGGCTCAAAATATGTTGAGCGCTTTGCCTCGCTTTGTGGGCGCTTCAGTGTCACATTAAGGCTCTAAGGCATACTTTTCCTTGCCAGTAAGTATAATCCTGAAAAAGCGATACTAAACAATTGATATTTCACTTTATCGTAATTATTTTCAATTTCTTTGTCTATATATTTGTTATTCATGCTTATAATTATTAGTCTTGGATTACATATACATATTTTTACTTTTCTCCAGTTGTGCCTTTTTTCATTAAAGTCCACTTTTTAATTGCGCTTTGCGCTTAAAGCCCCAACGGACCTTAGAGCCATTTTGCGCTTTTCTCCTTTGATAACATTGATTGTGCTATGGAAATGTTTAAACTGTAACTATCTAGAAGCTGGACTAAATGCTCTCATATACCAGCCGCATCACATGTCAAAAAGGAGATAATAGTTTCTGAGGAAACATAATGCTTCTCCTGCAGGTATGTGCCACGCACTTGCGGTCTTAGACTTATAGCTTATTAAGTTTCGTAATATAAGTAAAAAATGGGGTCAAGCAATTCTCAAGAAAATGGTTCTAGAAATCAGAAATGTTGGAGAAAACCATATCACAAGTTAGGTAAACATTACCTCAGGTTCATGCCGCCAAGCTTGATATGTGAAGTTTGAAGTAGAGCGGTCCATCATGGTTTGCCATGCCATCTCTCCATCTTTACCATCTAGAAGATGCAGAAAATGCTCCAGATCTTTCTCTGTCACAATGTCCTCATTTTTCGAGGTTCCAGTAATATGCCTGCAGGAACGAAGTAGATGCTTTAATGTCTTACCAAATAAAGGGACCAAAATCATCTAAAAGGGTGATGATAATTTGTGCCAGAAAGAAAGTACTGCGGAGTTGAAATTTTCATTCAACACTCATTAGGAACACATATTACTAGGAGTCCGTTAATTAGTTTTTATAGCATTCTCATTAATTTGTGCCAGCCTAGTAATCCTCCTATAGCCTTACATGACTTTTACACAACTACTCTCCTACCTGGTTAAATACTGTAGATAAGTTATTCAATGCAGAAAGAGAAACTTTTTATTCTTTGCGAATACTTGAGAACCATGATTTGCACATGAAGATGGTACCTAATTGGAAAAGAAGAGATGGTAATTAATGTACCACGAATGTTATACTGAACTACAGGTGAAGTGAACGGTTCCATGTATGGCAAAAATTGAATAGTGTCAGTTGCTGATCACAATTTATTCCCATATGAATATAATTCCAAATTACTTATTGCATCATACAATGAAGAAAAGCTACATATGCTACAAACAGAAAATGTTATCTATTTGTACTGCAAGTTAGCTGCCCCAACCTCAATTGTTCCTCAAGTTTGAAACTTTGGGAAGAAGTATGGGCACGCACCTCTACCCAGCTCCCACTTAAATACCAAGCTTCATTTGGTGGCAGGGTGAAAACTTGTGACATGCCCCCTACCAACACATAAAGCGTTGTCTTTCCCCTGGACCAAAGCCCTGGCAGCGACACATTATTTCTATTTTTTTTTCCGTAACTATGTTGGGAAAAATTTGTGTACAATCAGTCTCCAACACAGAACTTCTTCATGAGATGTATTCTCAACCTTAGTAAGGTATATGTGGAGAAGCAGGTATGCGTTAAATCCGGAAGGACGATAGCACAGATCAAAACTAAGTCATCCAATGAAGGTACTGGTTCCTTGGACTTAGTATCTGGTGAATAAGAGAAACGTCAGACTACGGATATTCAGGGAGAGAGATAAGGCAGAGAGATTGACAAGAAAAAGATCATTATTGACGGAATCATATTTGTCAGTACTGGGCATCATACAGGAGTAATAGAAGATGTTTGCACTTGGAGCAGGCAAAAGAGTTGCTAAGATCTAGAAACTCAGAGATGAGTGTAATGATAGTGTTTGCATAGCACAACCACTTCACCAGAAGTTTGAACTACTTCTGATTAATGTATGTCCTTATCTTCAATTTTCAATAGTCCTTCTGAGCTAGCTAATGCTTTTACCTATATATCCAAAAGCAAAATGTAATGGAAATTCCAGACTTGTATCTCATGGTCAACTCAAGTCAAATCAACATTAATTAGTCAGAGTTCGTACAAACTTTTAAACATATGCTTTAAAAAGATGAAATGCAGATCCACATGGCATAAATGGATATCAAGCATCATACGACATTGAAAAATTGTTTGAGCAACATCTATAAAAGCTAGTACTAGTATTTACTGTCACATAAAAGGTATGCCATGATTAGTACACTATGTACAAGATGATGATAAGGCGTTGAAAGCACTGCAATCAGCTAAGATCAGCTCAAAGGCAATGTTAAGAAACTTCATCTTAGCCGTTTTGTCCTTCTTCAACGACCATCATAGACCACAGTGTAATGTAATCGATCCCCAAATTTAACTCTATATTCGAAATGATTTTTCATTTAATCTTTCCAGTTTATCCATTGCAGTGCCTACCAACTAATGTCCTACCATTCCCCTAAAAATTCTACTGGTTGAATCCACCTACACTTACAAGCAACAGCATACAAAATTCAAAGTATCAATGAATCAGTAAATGCAACCGCAATTAAGGATCGAAGCCCTAGAAATAAAAACATGCATATGTATCTGTTATATGAAAAATGATACTATCAAATTTAAAACATACCTGGTGATGGAATCATTGTTCCCTTCACCGGGAACCGGACCCCAAACCGCTGAAGAAGATCCAAATTCATCCACCGACACCTGACCCGAATCCGCCCTGGAAATTAAACCAAAGTTTCCTACCAACAGAGAATGCTGAAAGAGCAGTAAAGGCCAACCAAAGGCGGCGAGCACCAAAACCGGGAGGAACGGTCCAAACTAAGCGATTGAGTTTAGACCGGAGTTCTAAAACTATGTCACACCTCTCGTGCCCAAGATGGCCTCAAAGTTGGTCATATCAAGCAGAAGATCCTAGTCTCGTAACCACCCGCGCTAGTCTCGTAACCACAGAATGTGACAATGCAGGACCGATAGATCCGATCCACAATAACAGAATCACCCACTGTAGTGGACACATAAACATGAGTACCCAAGTACTCGCGAGGAACATCCAGGAAATGAGCAAACAGAGATGACACATATGAATATGTAGACCCTAGATCAAATAATACCGAAACATCCCTACCGCAGATAAAAATAATACCTGTGATCACGGCATCTAAGGCCACTATATCTGGTCTGGTCGGAAAAGCATAAAATCTACCTGGAGCGCTACCTGCCTGGCCTCCACCTGCTTGGCCTCACTCTAGGACGACCCCTACCCACCTGCCCTCCGCCTCTAGGGCCGGACGACTGGTGCGACTGCTGGTGGTGCGGCTGCTGGTGCTGTAATCATAGGCTGAGAACTCTGCTGTACTGCCTTGCCCCGAAGTCTGGGACAAAACCTCTTCATGTGGCCAGGGTCCCCACACTCGTAACAACCCCTCTGAGCGGTGGGCTGCTAACCTGAAGTCTGACCGTGATGGCCTAAATACCCACCGGGAGAACCCTCAATAGCTGGTGGGCGGTAGGAACTCTCTGGCATAGCGCTGAAATAAGGCAGCACTTGAGCAGCCCGAGGAGGCAAAGGTGCTGGATATGTGGGTTTGCTAGGCTGACCACTCCAAAACTAACCTCTGCCCTCAGACGGAGCACCATTGAACCCTTCGGAATAACGGAACCGCTTGTCCCGCGACATCTGCTCTCGGCTCCGCTGATGGACATCCTCGATCCTCTGAGCTATCTCTACAACTGTCACGCCCCGAAATCGAGGAGTGCGACCGGTGCTCAATTGAGTAAACCTAGTCGAGCAAGCCTAATTTACATTAACCTCTCATCATTACTCATACATGATTTACCATAACATAATAAGATCTTGACTTTCATATTAAATACGTTTGGCTTAATGGCCCATATTTTCTTTCTCGTGGTGGTTACACAGCTCTATAAACAATTGTAAATACTGTGATCATAAATACATGACAAAACTCAAATCTTTAATTACATGATCCACAGTGTACATGGAGCTTCCATAACAATAGATACCTAAATACATAAAATGAACTAGACCCAAACACCCACTAGAACTGTAGCGGGCTCACCATAAGCTGAGTAGTGAAGAAGATCCTTATCAAAGATCCATATCATCCTGTAGAAATATACATGCATCCATTACAAGATGCAGCGTCCCCGGCAAAAGGAACGTGAGTACATGTGGAATAGTACTCGTATGTAAGGCAGTCAAAATAACATATGAAAATACGGTAACTCAAAAGAGAGGCAAATAAAGTACATCTAGTAACTACGAAACACCCCATAGAATCACATTTCAAGTCTTATTATACTTGCATCATTCTAAACTTCTTTTAGGATCAACTGAGCCATATGAACTATACATGGAATACATAATATAATGTAATTGTAACAACATGTACAAACAAGGCCAATGACAGTGGCACCTTACTCCCTTATTTTACACATATACATTTCATAGACCGTCCTTAGCGTTCACATATCATATTATGCACCTATGCGTCTCATAAACCGTTCATAGTGTTTACTTACACAATACAAATACACCTATTCAAGGGCTTGAAATTCAATATGAATATGATGAATTATGGTAACAATAAAAGGACTTAGATAACCGTCAACGTCGAGCTTCTATTAATCATTTATAGATATTAATTCAGGATCTTCTATAACTACCTTCACTCAAAGCGGCCCTCCGCCTTACCCCAATAAATGCGGGTGGAGGTGTATCACGATACCATAATTCCAACACCAAGCGGCCCTACCGCCTCAACCCAATATATACGGGTTGAGGTATGTCACAATACCACAATCCCTACACAAAGCGGCCCTACCACCTCACCCCAATATATATGCGGGTGGAGATGTATAACAATATCACAATCCCTACACAAAGCGGCCCTACCGCCTTACCCTAATATATACGGGTGGAGGTGTATCACAATACTACAATCCCAACACAAAGCGGCCCTACTGCCTCACCCCAATATATGCGCGGGTGGAGGTGTATCACAATACCACAATCCCTACACAAAGCGGCCCTACCGCCTCACCCCAATATATGCGGGTGGAGGTGTATCACAATATCACAATTCCAGCACAAAGCGGACCTACCGCCTCACCCCAATATATGCGGACGGAGGTATATCACAATACCACAATCCCAATATAAAGAGGCCCTACCGCCTCACCCCAATATATGCGGGTGGAGGTGTATCACAATACCACATTCCCTACACAAAGCGGCCCTACCGCCTCACCCCAATATATGTGGGTGGAGGTGTATCACAATACCACATTCCCTACACAAAGCGGCCCTACCGCCTCACCCCAATATATGTGGGTGGAGGTGTATCACAATACCATAATCCCAACACAAAGCGACCCTACCACCTCACCCCAATATATGCGGGTGAAGGTGTAATCCCAATCACAATACCATATATAAACTCAAAGCGACATAGTTTGTCATTACATTTAAGGTAGTAATTTCTCATATCATTGGAATGCTTCATGCTCATGCTCATGCTCATCATAGAGAAATGCAGCTCATTACATTAGCACATGCATAGTAAATCAATAAGTCGATTTCAATGGCACATGAGCCCAATTTATTTCCTTAAGGTTCATCATCATTTAGCATCGGGCATCTTCCTTTCATCTCATTATTCACTCACTTGACATCTTGAGGCCATTATCTATATTCATGACTCTTGGGGACTTAACAATTGAAGTCATTTACACACATCATTTCAGAAGTATACACCTATAGTTGAAACCATTGGGACATACAACACCTCATAATTCTCATTTAGGCAACGACCACATTTCATGTTCATACTATCACTTCACAATTACTTTCAACTACTTACAACATCATTATTTCATTGGCTCTCTTGGCCATTCATATGATTCTTATTTCATGGCACAATGGCCGTATTTCATATTCCACACTTTCATATCTTTCCTTTCATGGATCATCATCATAAATATCAACATATACAACATTCCAGAAATCACAACTTTAGGTTCATTAGTAATGAAGACTTTAAATACAATGGATTTCTTTCGAGGAAATGGAGTAAAATGATTGGCAATCGAAGCACAAGTTAAAATCATAAACAAGTAGCACATCATTTATTCTTGAAATACTTTTTTCCAAAAAGGACAATACACAATTTTCACTCACGAATATGTAAGAATGCAAAACACATTGAAAATACTCACTAAATATAGCATTAGCTAAAACAACCACATATGGGAATCACTTGAGTTCATAAGCTTTTAGGCAATTCTATTTTCAAAGTCAATTTTAGAATAGTTGAATCAAAGCTCATTTCATAATCTTTCTCACATCATCTCATTTCATTGGTACCATTGGCCACACTTTATATCCTCAATTCACTTATTTCACTTCCAACTATCTTCATAGGTTATCAACAATAAGACATTTTCAATCAACACTTTAGGTATACATTTGAGCAATTAAGAGTCTTATGCACATTGAGACTTCTTACACAATTTTGCATAATAGCCTTCACTTGAAACACTACTTGGAGTCATAATATTTTTATACCCAACTCATGCTTTGAACACATTCCCGAAGGATAACATCATATGATAAGAACATCCGGAACACATTTTGAACATATACCTTTCAACACAAAGCTTATTCGAAATAGTTGATTTATAAAGAATAACTCGGGACTTACAAGAACAATATGAAATTCAATTCTAGGAAAGAAGTTTAGCCAACATACCTCGCTTTGAGCTTTCATTAAATTACTACAGTATTCCGAAAATTCTAGCAATCCCAATCTATTTTGAGACATAACAAAATTGAACCATAATTAGAAATATATTCATGGTCTCAGCTCATTCGAGCATTTTATCAAACACTATGCGTGCAAATTTAACTACAAGGTTCTTCTACAAGATTTCTTTCACTCCACAACCCAATCCTTACTTATTTGAGCTAAACAATCTTCCCACAAACCTTAATAGTACAGGCATAAATAAATAATACTCTTACATCTAAGAATCATACTCCTAATCAACCATCTTCTACGAAAATCCGAAATTGAAAACTAGGGTATGAAACCTTACCTCTTAGATGGAGAACTTGAGAGATTTCTTGTTGGATTTCAAAGCTTGAGAAAGATTTGATGAACAAGACACTTGAGATTCTTCCTCTCTCTAGAACACTTTCACTTCTCTCTAAAAATATCAGGTTTTAGCTCAAAAATAACTTAACCCTTCTCTTTACCCAGCCTTGGGGGTATTAAATGAGTTCCTATGTGTGTGGCCGCGCACTTGGGCACGTGGCCACGCACCTGAGGCAGAAACTCTCAAATATGCGCGGCTGCACATCTAGGTGCGCATATGACACATGTCCAGTAAAATGGTCATAACTTTCTGTAGCAATATCCAAATGACAAACGGTTTAATGCGTTGAAAACTAGACTCAAAGTGCTTTAATTGGATAGTAGATAACCACCTAAGTCATTATATTGATGGAGTTCTATTCATGTGAAATCGGGTCTTGTGCCAATTGAAACATCCTTTCTACTTAATGTGTCCAACTTGTTCCACACAAGTTCTTGACAATTCCAAAACTCCTTAGTATGTTCTAACACACCTTAAACATACACTATCAATTCAACATGATGTGGCTCTATCCCATAGGTCTCCTTTAATACTCAAATACGTTATTCCCAAATACCGTTGGCGCACTTTAAAATCTTAAATCATTAGAAATTTTTTACATGGCCTTACATTCTCCCCCACTTAAGATCATTCGTCCTCTAATGAGGGTTAGAGTATACCATAGATACCTAATGTGACTTAAATCTTTATCTACATACCAAAAGCTCCATAATTTGGCAAACTCCCCAAAGTTTCAGAAATTTTGCCAGAGTCTCCCCTGTAATTGGGGCCTATCCACCTACTAAAGACTCTCAAAAATCAATCCTAAACAACATATAGATAACACCACATTTCTCCATATACATGAAAACAACCACCATGACTCTCGAGACCAACTATATGACCTTGCTTACCTTGGTCGTATCCTTGAATTTTCCTTCCTCCATTACGAGGACAATTGGGCACCTCACACATTATGCCTATTATGTGCATCATTCCTTTAATACTTAGGCCTTTCTCATTTCATAGCCATATATGCAAATATTCCTTGATATTAACAAGGGAACTCTGAGACTAACTCGGAACCTTAACGCACGATCGGGGATAGAAGAAGAGAAACATTTCCTAAATGTCGTTGTAGCCTCCCTATTATAAGTGTGGCCAGCAACATACCGATAAGAGGGACTCTACTGACACAGCTCCATGACACCTTAGGACTCCTAAACCATGCTCTGATACCAAGTTTGTCACGCCCCAAAATCGAAGAGCGCGGTCGGCGCTTAATCGAGTAAACCAAGTCGAGCAAGCCTAATTTACATTAACCTCTCATCATTACTCATGCATGATTTACCATAACATAATAAGATCTTGACTTTCATATTAAATACGCTTGGCTCAATGGCCTATATTTTCTTTCTCGTGGTGGTTACACAACTCTATAAATAACTGTAAATACTGTGATCATAAATACATGACAAAACTCAAATCTTTAATTACATGACCCACAGTGTACATGGAGCTTCTATGACAATAGATACCTAAATACA